GGCCCGGCACTCGTACGTGCCCGAGTCGTCGTCGGTGAGGTTGGTGATGGAGATGGTGCTGGTGGAGTGCAGGTTGTAGGTGGCGTTGATCCTGACCCGGTCCTGCCGTGCTCCGTCCCAAAGCTGAGCATAGGTCTCATTGGGCTCGTTGCCCTCAAACCACCACTGGATCTCGGGGATGGGGGTGCCAATGGCCTCGCAGTACAGCTCCACGCTGTCCTGAGTCAGTCTCTTTTGAGACAGCGGTGACTTTATAAAGCCAGCTATGAGTTGAAGAGGTATTAGTGCAAAGTGTTAGTGCAAAAGCAAGAACCCACCCGCTACAAGCGCCACGCATTCAGCCGCTGAGATGGGCACAACTCTTCCTTCCTTCCCTCCCTTGCTGAGCTCTGCCCAGCTCAGACTGGGCTCGGAGGGTTTAAGTGTTGCATCTCCAGCTGCAAACCCAGGAACACAAACCAGGACGTGGAGTTTGCCACCATCCACATGAGGAACCCCCCCCACGGGCACACAAGGGGCAGCATAGAACATGCTGCATCTCACACTGCGACCTATGGGGAAGGGTGAAACAATCCCTGTCATACAAACAGTGAAGCCATAGGATGGGTTGGGACCTTCAAGCTCATCCAGTTCCAACCCCTTTTCCACTGGAGCAGCTTGCTCCAAGCTCCATCCAGCCTGGCCTTGAGCACTGCCAGGGATGGGGCAGCCACAGCTTCTCTGGGCACCCTGTGCCAGCGCCTCAGCACCCTCACAGGGAAGAGCTTCTGCCTCAGAGCTCATCTAATCCCACCTTTTATCCCAGGCAAGGCAGTGAGATCAGCAGTAATGAGATCAGAGGTGTGAGGAGCACCCGCAGGCTTCAGGACTGCAGCACTTTGCTCCTGCAGCAAGAGGCAGGAGGGGGTTCAGCCTTGGACAACACAGTCCAAAGGTAGGTGTGGGCCTGCACAAGGCCGAGCTGCTGAGTTCTTTGGGTTCTCAGTGCTGTGGTCACCAGGAGCAACCTGCTCCAACAGTGACACGGGGCTGGGATAAGGGCAGGACCCAGGGGAGCCGGTCCCAAGCGGGCAGAAGGGAGGCTCAGGCAACAGCACTGCAGGAACGAGCAGCATCCGTGGGTCAAGGGCACTGATGTGAGGAGCTCAGGGGCAAGAGGAACTCGGTGAGGTTGTGATATGGGCGCTGCCCACGCTTCAGATGGGTTTATGGGGCATCCTGCACACAAACATCATTAGGATTCCTGGGGATACCCAGCCCTGTGCCACACCGTGGTGGCCAGGCACAAAGGAGCTGGGTTTGGGAGTGAACTGGGGGCGTTGTGAACACCTGAAGGAGATTTCATAAGAAACGGGGATTTCAACCCCAAGTTTGCTCAAACTCCAGGAAAATATAGGTCAATCTGCAAGGCACATTCCAGAGCCCTTGGGAACTCAGTGCTGCAGCTCTCAAGGGGAACACATTAACTTTACATAGGAAAGAACTGAAAAGGCTGGAAGAACAAGCACGCCTGGATGAGGAAGGAGAGCCCTAACCCCATCTACCACCAAGGCACTGACAGTGATTTCAAAGGGGAGGTGATGGAGCTCCAGAAGTCCTATGGGGGTATCAGCGCTTCTCATCTCCAAGTTCCACCTCCAGAAGCAGAGCCCTGTGCCCAGGCAGGTTGTTTTACACCACAGTCTGATTAAACCCCCTCATTCTGAGTACTCAAAGAACCTTGTAAAGCCCCGTCCTGGTTGCAAACAGGCTCTGGTAAAGATCAAGGCTCCGGGGTGGTTCTGTGCAGCTACAAGGGGATGATTGTTTGCTGACAAAACGAGCCCCTGCAAGGTTATTTGCTCCCGGTTAGAGGGCACTTGGTGCAGTTCAGACAGGCTCAAAAGCCTGGGCAAGCAGGAACAACAGCAAGCCCCGTTCGCATTCCCTTGGGATTAACATCCCCTTTCCTCCCAACACAAAGCCGAGCGGAACGGCAGGCTGGGAAAGGCAACCGCCTCATAGCACAACCCACTATCGACCTGGTGGGATCGATCAGAGCTGCTCCATCCTTTCCCAAAGGGGGACAGGGATGGAAGCAGCTCCTAAACCTTGCCCATTCCATAAGGAGCCCCTTTCCTCTTGGGCACAGCGCGGTGTTGGAGGAGCCGGACGGGACACAGGAGCAGATAACGCTGTCCCCAGTCACCTTCAGCCTAAAAACAACCTCCCCCCCGGAGCAGAGGGAGGAGCCCCGCTGGTGTTCAGTGTCTCTGAGCCCTGCCCCAGGGTTCACTCTCCTGCCGGGCCTGACCTTTGCTTCTTGGCCTCAGAAGGGGACATTTGAGGCCCCGAAGCTTTTTGTCGTTGCCACTAATAGCTGTAAACCCCACTCTGGCACCAGCGGCGCTCCCAGCACAGGTCAGAGGCGAGCGTTTGCTCCTTGTGAGGGCAGGGAGTTCAATCCCAGCCTGGGTTGGGTAGGAAAGGACCTTAAAGCCCATCCAGCTCCAATCCCTGCCGCACGCAGGGACACCTTCCATTAGACCAGGTTGCTCCAAGCCCCTGTGTCCAACCTGGCCTTGATATCCTTATATCCAACCTAAACCTCCCCTCCCCATGCTTTCTGTATGATGAGCTACCAACAGCAGCGATGCCGCCGTTTAAAAGGACCCCGTGGAACCCGCTCCGTAAATCCAAACCGAAACCCCTCATTTCCCAGCCCTGCACACTGCTTTACTTGTGCCATCAGCACCATCGCACCCAAACGCCCCGCAGCCAGGGCAGGACCCACGTTACACAACCAACGGGCCTGTAGGGCAGCAATTCCTTCCGAGGCTTTGCGAAGCAAGGAAACACTTTTTCCCTGGCAGCCCAATGGAGAGGGGGATGCTCCGGGCGGGGAGCACCGTTTTCGGTTGGTTTACCCCCAAAATGCGATGTTAAGGAGGAGGCACCCCCCACCCTCCCGTTCTGCATCAACTTTGCCGCACGGAAACCTTGGGGATGGGCACTTCTGTAGCTCGGGATCCTGGCGCTCTTTCACCTCCAGCCTTTGGGGCTTGGCACCGAGACCACAAACAGGCTGCGCATTCCTTAGCGTGCAGGGAAGGATCCGCACGGAGCAGGCAGGACCAGCCCACAACGCGCAGTAAAAAACCACCTCCGCACCGGCCCCTCCCGCACCGCGCCTGAATCAGCGGCCGCGGAGCCCTCCGGCTCCTTTGGGGCGAGCTCCAGGAGCGGCGGGGAAGCCAAGCGCCAGGGCAGCGCATGGCGCATCCCGGTTCGCGTTGGGAGCAGAGGAACCCAACGAGGAGCTCCCCGCACCGCACCGCGGGGATTAGCGACTTACGGGCCACGGGGCCAGCGTTAGGGCTTTAGGGCCCGGAAAGCCGCTACCGCTCCGTAAGCCCCGGAAACGGGAGAAACGGCTGCGAGGAGGAAATCCCCTCCCCCTTTTCCCCTCCGGGAAAGCACCGGGGCTGCCTCCACCGCCCTTCCGCTCAGGGGGCCCGGCCTTGCGCGACCCGGGCCGCCCGCAGGGAACCGGCCCCACCGGAGCCTGGAGACCTCCGATAGCGGAGGCAGAGAGGACACCGAGCCCGGGGCTGCCCCCGCCTGGGCCCCGCCCGCCGGGAGACGTGCCGGCCCGCAGGGCTCCGGCGCCGCTCCGCCCCCCAACAACAACGCCACCGCCCGAGCCCCGCCGAACCGGGCCCTCCCCACCCGAGCCCCCCGGCCCGTACTTGTCCCCGCGACGCCGGTGCCCAGCGCGGCCAGGAGGAGAAGGAGCAGAGCCCGGAGGCCGCATGGTCTCGCTGACGCCGCCGCCATCACTGCCTGCCCGCGCCGCGCCGCCCGCCGCCCGCTATAAGAACCGCGCCGGGTCACGGAGGAGGGGGCGGGCCCTTGGGCGGGATGTGCAGCCAATCGGAAGTCAACGCTGCAAGCAGCCCCGCCCATCCATGCCGCCGCTACCAATTAGAGGAAAGAGGTTGCAAAAGCGCCCTCCTCCTCCCTCCAGTCCGGCGTGGCCATTCCCACCAGGAGGAAGAGCAGCCAATCGGGTGGCGCGGCTGGGGGACGGACGGTGGGCGGTGGGGGCCAAGAGGCGGCAGCGTGCGGGGAACCGGAATGGCTGACGGGGGGAGTAGCGCTGGGACAGGGACTCCGGTAAACGGCTCTGCCCCATGGCCCCGTGCGGGGCAGCGCCTCCGGCCCCGGTTATCCCCATGAGCCGGCGCTGGGAGCCCGCGGGGCGCTCGCAGCCAAGGCAGGAAAGCCCCAAACAATGGGGCCGGCCTCGGCGCCAGCCCCCGCCGCGCTCCCCGCGGGGACCTCCCGGTTCTTGTGAGCTCCGGAACCCCCCTGGAGCGCTCCCTCCCACCAGGGGCCATGTCCGGCCTTGCCCCCCCAGCTCCCATCCCCTTCCATCGCCCTGCGGCACAAACGCGAGGGGCAGGGGCTCCATGGACACAGGCGCTGATGGAGGAGGAGGAGGCGGCTTTGGCCGCTGCTCCGTGCCAGCCCCGCTGACCTTGGAAGCCCGGACTCGAGGGCCAATAATCCCCTTCACCTCCCAGCCCCGTTTCCTAAGGCCACAAAGCACATGCATGGGCCACGTGCAGTTCCCAGCTCAATCCCCGATCCCATTGACACGGCTGCAGGAAGGGGCGAGCTTTGATCATTTCCCCTCCCAAGGAGCCTCAAAGAGCCCCAGGAGGGGGTGGTTTCCAGGTGTCCATCCCTATGGAACACCCTTAGGTGCCCCACGGCTGGAATGTGGTGGCTGGAGCTCGCACATCCCAACTCCGGCTTTGGATAGCCCATCAGTGCTGCCCAAGCAGGTCTGTGGAGGAGCAGGAGGGAAAACACCTTCCCTATGGAGTGCTCAGGGTTAGGAGGTGGGCTCAGCAGAGCCCACAGCCCCAGGGCAAAGGCCCAACACTGCCAGGAAGGGCAAGAGATGCTCCTCCAGGCAGCCCTATGGGGTTGGGGAGGCAGGGAAGGGACCCCAATCCCTAGGAATACTTTATTAAATAGTTCCAAAAAAACAGAAGCAGAAAGAGCCAGAACTGCCCCCTCCCTCCCAGCAGGTTAAAAACCACTCACACCCTGCAGGGCTCCATGTCCTGGCCATTCCCAAGGCTCCCATCATTCCCACCGCACTCTGGCACCACAGGAAGAGGCACCAGGAGGGTCCCTCCAGGATCCAGCCATACTCCAACCCCTCAAAGGCTGCACAAAGCCACCACTCACCAGCCCCACAGCCCCCCCCCCCAAACCCTTCCTCCTACATGGGGCTGAAGAGCCCAATGTGCCCCAAGCAGCAGGCAGGCAACAGCAGGTTTTGCCATCACACCCCAAGCCAGTCCTGTGGCTTCAGGAAGGCCCCGAGGCCACTTCCCCCTCCCCATCCACCCCCTAACCCAGCACGTTTATAAAATAGGGTTTGTTCCTTGTTTTTTCTACCAAGCCAGCACTGGGAGCTCCTTGGCCGCAGCAGAACAGTCTCCCTGCGAGGTAGAGAGTCAATTCCAGGGCTGACAGAGCCTAAATTCAAACCCGTTTGTCCTAAGTTGAGGTAAAACGCAGTAGTTTATAGGAAGGGTTGCAATGCCAGAGGGCCATCAAGATTCCTCATTGCCAGAGTCATCCTCATCCCCATAACAGCTCTCCGCCTCTTCCTCCATCTCATCATCCTCGTAATAGTCATCGTAGAAGAGGTCGGAGCCCTCATCAGGGGCTGGAGTCTTGGTCTTCACGCAGTACTCTGCCAGCGTGGTGGGGACCTTCACACCATCCCGCTCAGCATCCACCTTTGTGCCCAAGACTTGCTTCCTGGAGGTGAGAAGGAAGAGGTAAGGATGGAGCCCCACACACGGTCCATGTGTGGCACCGTATCAAGGATACCCAGCATGCAGCACCCTGTGTGCCAGGCCCATGCTGGCAAAGCCATGCTGGCACCATGGCTGCTCTGAGCCCAGATCATCAGCTCTGGAGCCAAAAAGGAGCAGGACTTATGCTGAGAGCAAAGCTGAGCACAGAACCCACCAAGTTCCTCTTTAAAAGCCCCACTCTGAGCCAGAATCCTTCCCTCCTACCAGTGTGCAGATGGGACTCAAGAAGGCAGGTCAGAATCGCAGCATCAAAGGATGGTCTGGGTTGGAAGGGAGCTTCAAGCTCCTCCAGCTCCAACCCCTGCCACGGGCAGGGACCCCTTCCACTGGAGCAGCTTGCTCCAAGCCCCTGTGTCCAACCTGGCCTTGAGCACTGCCAGGGATGGGGCAGCCACAGCTTCTCTGGGCACCCTGTGCCAGCGCCTCAGCACCCTCACAGGGAAGAGCTTCTGCCTAAGAGCTCAGCTCAGTCTCCCCTCAGGCAGGTTCAAGCCATTCCCCTTGCCCTGTCCCTACAGGCCCTTGTCCCAAGCCCCTCTCCAGGTTTCCTGCAGCCCCTTTAGGCACTGGAGCTGCTCTAAGGTCTCCCCAGAGCCTTCCCCAGGCTCTGCCCTCAGGATCCCGTGTCCTGCTCAAGTGTCTCCTGATGCCACAACACTGCCAGGCCTCGCTCAGCCCATCACACACCTGATGATGTCCGTGTACTCCCGGTCCTTCCCTTTGCTCTCCTTCCACTTGCGGTACATCACGGAGGCGTCCACGTTGGCTGGAGAGAAGGTGTTGGGCTCATTCAGCAGCGAGATCACGCTCAGCAGAATGGTCCTGGCCATCGATAAACAGGAGCAGGTAAGAGCCAAGGCAGCAATTCCAATAGCCTCCAATCCCCATGGAGCAGGGCAGAGCATCCCAGGGAAGCCAAGCCCAGGCTGCCAGGCTCAAGCTCTCACTGTTCTTCACATCACACCCCACAAGTGCCTTTGATGACCCCAATGCACCTCCTGCAGGCTCTGGGAGCAGAAGCAGCCCCCATGGCCCCACATTCCCAGCCCTGGGATGAGGCTCAGCCTCTACCTCACGTTCTGTGTGGGGTTCCACCGCTCCGACGGCAGCTCCCCGCTCTGTGGGTCGTCCACGGGCGGGTGCAGGATGGAGATGCAGACATCACCAGTCTGAAAGCACAATGGAACAGGATCAGAGAATGGTTTGGGTTGGAAGGGACCTTAAAGCTCATCCAGCTCCAACCCCTGCCATGGGTAGGGACCCCTTCCACTGGAGCAGCTTGCTCCAAGCCCCTGTGTCCAACCTGGCCTTGAGCACTGCCAGGGATGGGGCAGCACAAGAGGTGTTCCCACTACCTCAAGCTTTGCCTAAGCCCCCCACAGCCCCAGTGAGGCCCCAGGGCCACGCACTCCCTGTCCTCACAGCCTTCAAGCCTGGCTGACCTGGAAGCAGGACAAGAGAGCGGCTGGCGTCAGCTCATTAACTGCCTTTCCAGTGCCAAAGGCACTGAGTTCCAATGCCAAAGGGTGGTGTTGTCATCCACAATAACATGGGCATGTGCCCCCCCTACCTTACACCCATCTAACACTGTCCCAGGGACCTTACCTCATAGATATTGGGGTGCCACATTTTGGTTAAGAACCTGAAGGCGGGAGGAGAATAGGGGTAGTCGATGGGAAACCGGAGGCGAGCCTGCAAGGAAACAATAAGGAAAAGTGAGGAGGGAGGGAAGGAAACCACAGAGAAAGGAACCTGTGCCAAGTCCCGCTGCGCTCCTGCAGGATCAGCGATCCCCATCCTGCTGTTAGGGAATGGGTTGGGTTGAAGGGACCTTAAAGCTCCTCCAGCTCCAATTGGAGGGACCCCTTCCACTGGAGCAGCTTGCTCCAAGCCCCTGTGTCCAACCTGGCCTTGAGCACTGCCAGGGATGGGGCAGCCACAGCTTCCCTGGGCTGTTTCCCCCCGCTATGGAGCTCCTAGGGAAGGAAGCATCAGGTGCTCAGCGCTCTGCCAGCACCCTGAGGCTCTAAAAATAGCCTGAAAGAAGAGAGAGGCCGAGTGCAGGCCGGGCACAGCACGTAGCTCAGGTGCTATAAATAACAGTGCATGAAGATCATGCTGCAGAGCGCGGCTCCAGCACCCGCAGACACAACCTGAGGTGGCCAAGAGACACCAAACAACGTCCCCAGGCATCAGGAGCAACCGCTCCCCATGTCCTGCACAAGCCATGGGGGCTCTTTTGGGTGCTTCTGGAAGGCAATGTTGAGATTCAGGAGCCAGGGATAAAGAGGGAAGGTTTAAAGCACCAAAGAACTCCTTGAGCATCTCCTTGTGTACAGGAAGATGCACATGTTGGAGCGGGGAAGCAACAGTTGGAAGCAGCCTGGCTCTGCACAGCAGTGGGTGATGGTGGCATGGGATTGTTCTTTCCCCATGGGCCCGTTTGGGATAGGAACTGTGAAAGAGGCTTTGGATGCTTCTGGAATCACGGCCTCAACAATAGGCGATGCTGCCAAAAGCTGGTTGGCAGCCAACAGCCATGAAAAGATCAGTGTAGAGGACAGAGAATCTGCCCTCCTCCTCCTCACTGCCCTGAATGAGGAATCCATCCCGGATCCCGCTTCCAGCCCTGGCACAAATTGATCACATCCAGAAGCAGCCCCTGATGGCAGCTCTGTCCCTGATCCATGGCACACGCCAAGGGGTGCATGGGAGGAGAAGCACAGCATCGGTGTGTGTTGAGCTCAGGGCACAGCACCCACAGCACCACTGAACTCCTTAGCATCATCCCCCCTTTGTTGGGTTGAGGGTGCAGAACAAAACCAGCCCGAGGTAAAGCGACCCCATGGGGGCTTGGGAAGAGCCCCCCTATGAGTTGCTATACACAACAGGGCGACGTTCCCAGTGGTTGGAAGAGGACTCAGCCTCTTTGCTCTCCCCTGAAGCAGGAAGCTCCATCCAGTGCCACCCAACAGCACCAGGTTGGGAAGGTCTCGGGCACTAAATGGAGGTGCTGGAAGGGCGAGAGCTCAAAGGGCCGGGTGCCAAAAGAGGGGTGGGAAACGGCTCGGTTCCATCAGGAAAGGGCTAAAACCTGGTTCTGAAGGGAAAAACAAAGCAGGCGGCTCCCGAGGCAGAGCTGACCCCATCCGGGGCTGACTCAGCCCTGCCAGCAACAGGATGGAGCCACAGGAGCTGGTAGCGGAGGAGGGAGGATGAGAAAGAGGAAGAAAACAGCTGCGCAGGTTGCACAACCCCTGGGATGAGCACATCCACATCCTGCCCCCCCCCCCCAATTGAACCCCAAACTGAGCCACGGCACCCGCTCCCCACATCTGGGCCATCCCATATGGGCCCGCTCAGGGAGTGGGGGGAACGGGGACCTTATCCTTAGGCTGCTCCCTTTACTTTGGTGGGGATGCCCCGATCCCCTCCAATGGCCCAGAGCTCAACACCAAGCCAAGGAGGGGACAGGAGCCCCCGGAGGAACCCCACCTCACAATGGGGGTATCCCTGCCTACTTGGGCAGCACCACAAGGGCCGCCTCCTTCACCCCAGCTCCTAAGGCCCTGCTGACCCCAAGGGGCGCAGCCGCAGACCCCCATTGCCTGCCCCTCATCACCCCCTCGAGCCCAGGAGGGCTCTGTCACCCCCCCCCCCCAAGCCTCTTTCACCCCACAGCCCCCATTCCCCCGTGGTCTCTCTGCCTCCCAAACCCCTTCCTAACCTGTGCTTCCCCCCCCCCGGGCATCTCTCGCTACCCCAGCTCTGCTTCTGCCCCTCTAAACCCCATCTCCCACAGCACAACTCGGCCCCACACGTCCCCGTCCTCCCCTTACGCCACCAGAGCTTCACCTCTTTGAGACCCCGGTTCCCTCCGGAGCCCCTCACCTTGAAGTATCCGCCCTCGTAGTAGGTGTTTGGGGGGCCGAAGATGGCCACCTCCCAGTTGTAGAGATCTCCCTCGTCAACCAGGTTGACCCGGAACCCTTCCACGGGCTCCTCCTGCAGCCCTTTCAGCTCCAGCAGCAGCGCCTTCTGAGAGCTGGGCACGAGAGGCCGAGCCATGCCGAGAAACCGGGGTAGGCCGCGAGCGAAGCCGGGAGCTGCCGTAGGCGCAACAGCCGCTGCAGGGACGCAGAGAGGCGGCGGCGGATCCGGCTGCGCCGCGGCCGCTCCGAGCGCGGGGCACGGCGGGAGCTGTAGTCCTCCCGCAAGGGGCGGGGCCGCCGATAACCAATCACAGCGCGCTGGAGGACAAACGGGCGTGGAATGGAATAGTCTCCACGCCCTTAGCGAAGTGAGCCAATCACAGCGTGTTGAAGAGCGACGGGGCGTGGCATAGAATAGTCTCCACGCCCTTAGCTAAGTGAGCCAATCACACCGTGCTGGAGGGCAACGGGGCGTGGCATATAATAGTCTCCACCCCCTTAGCGAAGTGAGCCAATCACACCGTGCTGGAGAACAACGGGGCGTGGCAGGGAGCTGGCTCCACCTCCCGGGCGATGTGCGCCAATCACAGCGCGCCGCTGGGTAGAGGGGCGGGGTTAGGACCCTTGGCTGCGCGGCCGCTTCTCGGTCTACGAGCCCCGGGGTGGCGGCCTCCTGCAGCAGCAGAACCGGCGTTCCCCGCACTCCCATGGACCCCCCCAGCACCGCCGGTTCCCCCCTCCCGTCCTATTCCACCCTGGCACCTGCAGCCTCACCCGGACCAGCTCCACCGAGTGCCTGTGGGGATGGAAACGCTCAGCACAACGGGCACCCCCGAAGCTCCTCTGGGGTATTCCCATAGTAGCTACAAAGGCTTCTTGCTCCCATGCCATCAGCCGGGCGAGCTGTGATTGAGATTTCGGCATCAGTCACTGGAAACGGAGCCTTCCACTGGGATGTGGTGCTCGGTGCAGAGAAACTGGCCACTTAAACCCCCCCCACCAATCGAAAGCTTTAATGTCTTAGAGTAAACCAAGAATTGCATGGTATAAATAACACAGACAAGTTCAAATAAATAACCCGCGGTCCCACACGCACCTCTGATCAAAAGCAATCTGTGACCTGAGGGCAGGGGATGGACTTGGCCTGACCCACGTCCCACATCAGCAGCATCACCATCACAGCACTCAAGTATGAGCTTTGATCTTCCCAACACAGCTCCAACACTGTCTCATTGCCTCACTGCCAGCAAAGCTCCCTCCAGCTCAGGGCTGAGCTTCGCCCCTTCCATGCTGTGCATTTAAACCTCTTTCCTCACTAAAATAATGCCTGATTTCACACTTTGGGTCCTGTGAACCCTCTGAGGGGTCTGTGAGGTTGAGAAGCGTCACCCCCTTCACTGCTGGGTGTGAAACAAACCCAAAAGGTCCCCACTGAAACTGCAAAGGGGTGAGGACGAGCCCATGGTGTGTGCCAAGGTGCAGCCCCAATTGTGGCTACTGTGCCCTGCGGCTCACAGGCTCCTCGTGAGCCCCCACTTAACACCTAGAGAGATCTACAAATGAAGCTGGATTGGAAATGCCATCGGCCAGGAGAGGCACAGCGGATCGGGATGCATCCGGCACTGGAGGTGGCCAGGTGCCCATTGCACTCAGAACAAGGATGGGAGCATGGAAAGTGGGAATCTCCCATCCATGCTCGCTGTCCAGCCCAGCACCGGGGTCCGGAGCACTCAGCGGCTGTTACTCAACAGGCTTCACTTTAGCAACAAACAAGGCGGTGGCTTTCTTCAGGAACTCCTCCCTGCTCATGGAGCCACTGAGCTTCCTCTCCTGCAGCGCCCGCTCCATGGCCAGGGCCAACCCATCCGGTCCCAACCGGGAACCAGCCTCTAGGTACCGTCTGGGCTGCACAAAGTGCCCGGAGCCCAGCGCCTCCTCCAGCGCCCGCAGCACCGCCTGGCACAGCCGGGCATCGGCAGCCCCGGAGCCACCATCCAGGACAGCGAAGAGCGCATCCGCCTTGGCCGCGAACTCCAGGAGCACGAAGCAGGTGAGGACCCCATAGCGGAACACATCGAAGGGGACGGCCTCATGGTCGCGGCACCGCACTCGCCGCAGCAGCGCCGTGGCCACCTCGGCCGGTGCCTCCCCGTGCTGGCAGATGCTCCGCAGCAGCTCGCTGTAAAGCCGCCCGTCCACGCCTGCCGCCCGCCGCCGCTCACCGCCTCCCAGCACCTCGTAGGCCGCGCCGGTGTTGCTGTCGAAGGCCGTCCTGTCGCGACATAACGATAGGGGGGGGCTGAGTTAATAACCGAACGTTAAAGCTATGTTATTCTTTGGATTATCTTCAATCTCTTTATTTAAGTATCTGTATAGAAGTGCAGCTGGTGTTTAATGTAAACTTGTATAAGAAAAGAAAGAGCATCAGATAAGGGGAACTGGTGGTCAAAGTTTGCACTTGCAACACCATACATCTGGTTAAGACCCAGCTGGGACTGGAATTGCGGTTTGAGCCAAAGCTGGGGACTAGTTGATGCATGGATTGACTCCATGACTCGTTAGAGCTGGAAAGTAGGGATGCTTTATTCAGCTGAGGTGCATGGGGGTTGCTCTCCCAAAAGCATGCCACTCAGTTCGTTTATATTCCATATAATGATTACCTAAACATGAGATTGCTTCACACCTAATACATATGCAAAACCTATTCCCATCTAGTATTACAATTAGTTTTCCGGCATTCGTCCCATTGGTGCGCCTGCGCAGTGCCTCCTGGTGGTGGTCGTTAGGGGGTCGTGAGGATGAAGGCCTGGAGTTCTTCTTCATCACTGCGAGTAACCTCTTGCTTTCACTCAGACTCAATAGGGTTCCGGCTCCTAATCAAACCTCAGGTTCGGTACAAGCCGGTTTTATGTATCTTAAAGCAGAAACTTGTCAAGTTTGCAAATGTGTTCCTCTGGCTGTCTTTTGTTCCTTATCTTTCTATGGATACTATTTGAACAAGAATGTCTTAAATGTTAAGTTATGAATCTGATCTATCACAATTCTGCCTAGCAGCTCTAACTCCTACAGTTCTGCTTCACCGTTCCAGCCACTTTGACTCCTACGGTTCTGCTTCACCAAGCACAGCGACTGCTTAAGCAAGCAGGCACAATGTTAACCCTTTATTTCCCGGTATCATGCGTGCAAGACGGAGGTGGGAAGTTCAAGAGTGAGGAAGACTCGTTTACTTCATCACCGCGGCCACCAGGAGGCACTGAGCAGGCGGGAAGGAAGCTTTAGCTCATTATAATATGAAGCGGGGAAAGGATATGAATATGCATAGGTGTGTTGTGTGACCTATTGCATATGTAACACCTTAGAGAATAAATGTAGAGGGAAAACGATGCTGGGGTGTGCATGCCTTTGGAGGAACTATCCCCCATGAGCCTCAGCTGAATAAAGCATACCTCCTTTAGGGCTTTAACGGGTTGTGGTGTCAATCCGCGTATCAATAACACACACACACATACAGAGACACGCGGCATCACGCCCCGCCCCCCCCGAACTACAACTCCCAGCGTGCCCCGCGCGCCCGCCTCACCTATGGGAGTGGTGAGCCAGGCTGACGTACCACAGCGCCTGCGCCAGGCGCTGCGGCGGCCCCGCGGGCTCGGGGCTGGCCAGCACCAGGCGCTCGAAGTAGTCGGCCAGGAAGGAGACGGGCTCCTCCGGCCGCGCCTCCAGCACCTTCAGCAGCGCCTCCCGCACCATGGCGGTGACGCCGGCCCGCAGCAGGAACTCCGCCTCGCTGCCCACCGCCTGCCCGCCGCTCGGGGCCGTGCCCGGCCGCCGCTTCTCGTACGCCGCCATCTTGGTTGCGGGCAGCGAAGGCCGGTTCCGCCCCGAGAGGGAGCGTCCTGCGCCGCCATCTTGCTTACTGGCAGCCAATCGGAGGGCTGGGAAGGCAGGCGAGCGAGCCACCATTGGGAGAGGCGGATGGGTGCCATCTTGGGTGTGGGCAAAGAAGCCGCTCCCCCGGCAGCCATGGCTCCGCCCGCCCTTAGCAACCGGGCGCGCTGCGGACGCTGGTTCCGGGTGCACACAAGAACCCTTTATTACAGCACCCCTCACCGGGGCTGCTCCTGACCCTCCTGTCGCGATAGGCGGTCTCTGTCGCCCTCCTCCCACCCTCGTGTGTGCCCCCAAGAGCTGAACCCACCCCCAGCGTGATGCAGCCCCGGAGCATCACTGCGGACGTCTCCATCCTTCCTCTCCTCCCGTGGTGCCGTCGGGGGTCTCCTCTCCCTCCGAGCGGAGCTTCCCGGCAGCGGTGATCAGGGATGGAGCCTTCGGGAGCAGCTCGGAGGGTCCCGGCAGCAGCATCCCGCATCCCGCATCCCACATCCCGCATCCCACCAGCTCCGCGGCCACCGCTGCGAGGGGGGGAGCCGGGTGACAGCAGGGACGGGTCCGGCTGCGGGTGTCTGCAGGGCTCCTGCTCCTCTAAGGCAGCTCGTACTGAGAGTGGAATCGCTTCCACAGGCGATGAGCCCCAGCACCGGCCACGATCAGTCCCAACAGCGACACCGTTGTCCCCGCAGCCACGGCAGGGCCCGTGCTGGACGCGTCTGTGAAGACACCAAAAGGGGCTCTAGGTGCCAACAGACCCGAACGCGGCACTTAACACAAGGCGCTGCAGCCCAGATGGGCTTGATGGGGCGCGCAGGAGGTGCCTGCACATCAACCACATACCGTCCAGCACCGCGAGGTGCAGACTGGCCGCATGGGAGCGGTGTCCGAGCAGGACGCACTGGTAATGGCCCTGGTGCCGGGGCTCGGCACGGTCCAGCCGCAGCGTGGAGCTGCTGCCCTGCGCCTCCTGCCGGTACTGCGAGAGAGCCACCGGGGTCCGCAGCCAGCGCACGGTGGCGTTGCCGGGACACCGAGCCCGGCACTCGATGCGCAGCTCCCTGCCCCTCGTCCCGTTGGGAGGCAGCGACCAGAGCCGCAGGCTGCAGGCGGGCACCGTGCCCGTGGCTGGATCCAGCCGCTGCATCTCGGCCGTGCCGGGGCCGGGGGTGACCGGATGCTCCCTGCCTGTGGTGGTGGCTCCGGGAGGAGGATGCTCGGTGGCAGCATCGGGCTCCTGCGATGTGTGCGTGGGGATGCTCGGCTCTGTGGTGGCCGCGGCTGTGTTGGGGCTCCGAGTCAGAGCTGGTGCTGGCCAAGGGGTCCCCGTGGCCACCAGCGTAGCTGTGAACAGAGCAGGACATGGGCCTCGCTGCAGCTCCGAGCTGGGACACATCATCCCCACCACCCGCCAGCTCCATCCTCCTCCACCGCATAGATACAGCCCCGGGCTGGGAGAGGATGGGGTATCTGCAGAGCAAGGCAGGAATAGGGACTGCTCCTGTTCCAGCCAAGCAGCACAGGGTGATGGGAGTGACAAGGCAGCCCCTGGACCCGGGTCCCCATTACTCACCCCCGGTGCTCACCACCACCGATGCCACCCGGGTGAAGGTCTCCTGCCCGACGCTCAGCATCAGCTCGCACCTGAACTCCGTCCCTTCCTCCACCTCCTTCCCATCCACCGCCAGCGTGGCCACGATGTCAAACAGCTCCTCCTCGGTCTCGCTGACATCGAGATCTGCTGCCGGCAGCGCCTGGTCCCCTCGGTACCAGGTGAGGAGCAGCCCCGTGTGCGGGTACACGCCATGGGCTGAGCAGCGCAGGCTGAGGGGCTGCCCCGGCACCGGGGCTTGGGGGGCTGCCTCCAGCTGCAGCCCCTCCGGCAGTGCTGGGAATGCAATTCCAGGGTCAAGCCATGACTTGTGGCACCGCAGGCTCCAGGATGTGGGTGATGGATGGGCTGGGGAACGCTCACCATAGACCCTCAGGGTGACGGTGCGCTGGTAGTACTGCCCATGGCAAGCTCCCTGGCAGATCTTGGTGCCCCCCATGGCAACCACGGCGCTGGTGATGTGCAGGATGCTGTGGGTGGGAAAGGAGGTGACGCTCCCCAGGTTGGTGTCCAGCCCCTTCCACTGCACCGTGCCCTCGGCGCAGGCATGGAGGGAGCAGTTGAGCCGCACCGAGCCCCCGTACGGCACCAGCGGCTCCTGTGGTGTCACCATCAGCCTGCCCACGGCTTGCCCTGGGCCAGGGAAGAGGGAAAACACCGGGTTAGGGATGGGGATGATGTGACAAGGCCAGCGGGATCTCGGTTCCTTGGCTTGCTGAGATATCGATGGTCACACTCAGGTGCTGCATAAGCTCCATCCCCATCACTACGGGGATCAGTGCTGAGGTGACAGCGCTGCTCCCCCTGCCTTCACCATTGGGATTTGCCAATCCCAAACGCCCCTTTCCCTGAGTTCTCATCCCTCACCAGCTCTGCTGCTGCTCTGGCACCTCAGTGATGGGGAGACCCCATCACGGCACCATGTGGCAGAGCACAGAGCCACGGACAAGGGGGGGGTTAAGGGATCAGGATGCTCCTGGTCCTCCAGCACTCACCTCTGCAGCCCCACAGCAAGCCGAGGAGGAGGAGGAGCAGAGCCGGCTCCATCGCCCGCAGCAAGGGCTGCTTTTCCTTCCTTCCCTCCCTCCTTCCAGGGAGGGAATGCTCCTGCTTGGGGCTGTCTCCTTCTGGCTGCCAGCTCTGTCCTCAGCCCTTCTTAAGCCTTAGGAACCGCCCCCCCCTGCCCCAGGACCTCCACAGCTTTCCAGCCCAAGGGGTATTTCCAGAGGGAGGGATCTGATTTCCTTCCAAGCCCAGCTCTTGCACAACACAAGGGCTGCAGCAGGGGGGACATCGCTCTATGAGAGGGGCCCACGTTCAGCATCACCAAGTGTGGCTGTCCCAGAGCACATCCCACTGGGACCCCCATGGGAACACGGCCTTGGGATGGGGCAGCCTGAGAGATAAACCCAAGGAGCCCCAAGATGTGGGGTTTGGGAAGGAGGTGATGGAGTGCAGGGATGGGTGGTCCTCAGAGGGTTGGTTTTATGGGATAGATGGACAACGTGCCCCCCCACATGATGATGTTGATCACCCCATGTTATGCAACCCCAAGGCCCTATTTCATCCTCTCCTCACTCCTACCCATCAAATGGGAAGAGATGGACGTGGTACGGCCCCATCCCATCCTGCCGGGAAGGTGCTGAAGGAGAGGACATTGACATTCCCAGCCCTGCGCCTCCCATCACAGAAGGTGGGAATTGGGCACAGGACCCATCCCTTTCCCATGCGGGAACTCTGGAGAGGCAGCTCCGGGCACTGGGCGCGTCGTGCATCCTTTTGGGAAGCCTGGGAGCAAGGGAAGTGCTCTGTCAACAGCTGCCATCGGAGCCGCACGCTCAGCTGAAGCCGGTGATTGATGGCTCAGGGGGTTTTGGTCCTTCCACCCTGTGTTACCAGAGCTTCCCGGAGTTCCCAAGGCTGCTCCTGTCCCTGTGTCACCTCCTCCTCCTCCTCTGCTCCCGTTGCCACCGGTGGGCGATGGGACAAGCACCAAGCACTGAGTTCCTTCAGCAAGAGCTTAAAGAGGGGAAACACCATCCTCAAGGACCATGCTCGCTGCTGGAGGAGCACCCCAAGCCCCTGGGTACCGCTCGCTATGGCCCTGCAGCATCCCAATCACTCACAGAGCAGCCTTGAAGCTTTCCTGGACCAGTCCCCAGGACATCAATAACCACTGGAGAGCCCAGCACCTCCTGATGCCCTTCCTCTGGCTTGGGGCTTGCAGAGCACTTGAGGATGTGTGCCTGGAGCCTATCCCAGCACAGAGGGACCATTAGGCTGCAGCCCCAGGGTGGAAAGAGCATCCTCAGGCACTGGGATGCTTTTCCACCCAACAGGAAACCTTTGAGGTCAGAGCAAAGGGGATGCTGGCTTTCAAGAAGCAGAAGGGGGAAGGTTTTTCCTGGAAGCCGATGGTGCTTCTTCCTGAGGGCAGGAGCAGGGGCAGAGCTCGCTCCAGAGGCACTCCTCAGGAAGCAGAACAGCTCAATGGGGAGAGATGAGACAAGCACAGGATGCCCCAGCCAAGCCTCTCAGGCTGGGGTGGAGCGCTGGGCTGTCATCACCAGCACTGCTAATGCCCCACACCAGAAATGACCTCTGGAATGAGGTAAAGTTTTTCCACACGGTGCAAAACTTGGGAATCTTCCCTTGGGAAGGCTGGTCCCAAAGCCAGGCTCTGCCCCTAGCCTGCAGCATCCCCATCATGGGGGTGCCCAGCACTACCCCCTGCTGCAATCCCTTCCCTTTTCCCTCCAGTGATGCAAAGTGGGATAAGCAGATGAAATAAATACAATAATGAGCTCAAATCCGGAGGAAATCAAGACAAAAGGGAACATCTTGTGGGATGGAGTTTGTGTTTCCAGCTCTTTATGGGATATGGGCTGTCAGACACAGCTCCCAGCCAAGAGCAGATGTGGATGTGTTGACACTTGTGATTATATCGCTCACTCAGTACCATCCTCAACCACCACAAGAAGTGTTTAAGTGCCTAAGATAAGATCTAAATGAAGCCTGACTTGAAATGAAAAGGCTCAAATCCAGCACCGGGGGAGGTGGGAGCCAGGGACCTGCCTCTTGTAATGCTCCAGTGGAAGCCTGGAAAGCTATGGTAGGATCAAGGGTGAATGTGAATCGGTTCCAAGGCCCTTTTAGCTCTGTTTGAAGGAATAGGTGGAAAGAACTCACTTTGTACCCATAAGAGACAGATTTAGGAGGCCTGAAGCATCATCTCAGAAGGCATCTTGGGACCCGAGGGAGAAGGACGAGGACAGAAGAGCTTCAACACAACAGGAAAGCAGCAGTTTAATAAATAATCCACTGGAGGAGGGAGAGATTAGCCAGCTCGAAACCCAACCTGAATGGAAAGAAACACAGCTCCCCATTAGCTTCACAAGACAGACCCAGAAACGCTCGCAATGGGCAGCACAGAGCATGGGCTCCCCCCCATGCCCACGCTCTTTCAAGGTGCTAAAGGTGGCAGCAGCCATTCCAGTACAGAGGAAAGAACCCAAACTGGGGAAGGGAGACGGGACTGGTTTGTTAAATCAATGGTAAAAGAGAAAGGAAGGGTTTAAAGGGGGGGGTTAGTGCACTAAGATCAGTTTGGACTCACTGAAGGGCAAATGAAGCAAATCCTTGCCTTGCTTTTGGGGTGTTGTTGGCCCCGACCTCAATGTGAAGTCGCTGCAGACAGCTCCTGGGAATGCTGCTGTGGAGCAGCCGGGCTCAGGCACTTCCCAGCACATGGAAGGGGTGGGGGGGATGTGAAGAAAAGGCTCTTTTAAAAAAGTTGGGGTTTGGGGTTTTTTTCCCATAGAAAGTAACAAAAAACTTGGCAAAACTATCTGAACGCTCCGTGCGGATCTTCCCAGCTTTCCAGTGGGATGCTGCAGAATTCCCGGCCCTTCGGAATGAGACATTCGTCATTCAGGTCCAGGAATCTCAGCTCCATCACTGCTTGGCCCGAGGCCTCCTGTGTCCCTTGAAGGCAGAACAGTGGCTGGGTCCCAGCTCCATGCCCGGTGCTGGGGCTGTGTGGAACCAGGGGAAAGGAACTCCAAATCCATGGGAAGGGATCCCTGCCTGCTCCCAGTGCCAGGAACAAGCGCCACAGTGAGTCCTGGCTCTGCAGGCACCAAGCTTGGGGCCCTCTCATGTCCCCTGTGCCATCAGAGCCAAGGTCCAAACCACCTTGATGGTGCTTACAGCACCCTTAGGTACCTGCACCACCACAGTGGGACCTTCCATGCATCAGCGACCTGCAGCATCTCCAGGCCCCGAGCTCGGGGTGATGAAATAACCAAAGCCCTCCAGATCCACTGTGTAGGAGACAGGGGACGTTGGCATCGCTGGGAAGTCGGATGTGGCAGCGGGATGGATGGGGATGGAGCAGGGAAGCTCACATGGTTGGTTCTGTTTGCTGGAGGGGAGGAGAGGCCGGAGGCAGCAGCGGTGCTGGCATGGAACAGGATTTGTTTCAATAAACTACACAAGAAAGGACTTCTAAAAATATATCTCTCTATACTTTAGATCATAGAAATTACTTTCTTCTATCCATAACTTTCCATTATATCCTATGATTCCATCCTCCCCCTGGAGCTCCCAGAGTGCACGAGGAGGTAACGGTTCCTTGGTTCAACTTCATCTGGATGCGAGGGAAAAACCAACTTCATTTGAGAAGAGTGGGAATCAACAGCGGATGTGCTTGGAAAAGCTCTGCTCCGAGAAGGGAATGTGGAGTTGAATGGGTCAGGGACTGGATTTCCTTCAGGAAAGCAGCTCGCTGTGCACACACAGCACGGACATCACCATAATGAGCTTGGGGAAACCGGAATCACTGCAGGTCACTGAGGCTTTCTGCTGCCTCCCCTCTCCATCCCTGCTCTGCTGCCCTCTGCTCCCAGGGCATGGCTCCAACTGCAGGGCCCAGGCAGGGTTAATGCAAAACCAGCTGACAATTCCTCCACTTCAATGTCCACTTCCAATGAAGAACTGGTCCAGGAAATCAGGAAACAGGGAGTAGAGCATGAGCCCAGCCCAGTGCAGGCAGCAGCTCCAAGCTGTTCCTATGTAACAGGGAGTAAATTCCATCTATATGGAATTGCAGCTCTTGATCTACCCAATGCCAACACCAAGAAGCGTGCAGAAGAGATTGGATCCCAAATGCACCCTGGAGCAGGGGACAGGCAGTGCTCTCCCAGGCTTGGCTCTCCATGGTCATCCCGTTGGGTTTTCCATTAAACCCACTGCTGCAGAGGCCACTGTCACCCATCTGCAAAGAGCCAGGACATGGAGCCAATGCTCCCTTCCTCCTGGCCTTCTTCCCCTGGGAGACCTGTCCCAGCCTGATGGAGGGATCCCAGCCAGCTCCCACACAGCTCTGAGACAGGGCTGCTCCAACTCCAGGACCTGCTGCTCTCCCAGAGCAGAGGTTCCAATTCCATTTGTCAACCAAACAAGCACCTTCACGGCAGGCTCACAAACACCACATGGAATCCCAACCTCTTAAGTTCACATCAGCTGCAAACCATCACCATCAGCAGCTTCTGGACTGAGAGAGAACAAGAGCTGCAGTTGGTATCTGGGTTGAATATCGGATGGCAAGAGCCTGAGGGGAAAAACCCACGTGTTTTATGGGAAGTGCTCAGGATGAACAGCTCCTTCTTTGGCCTTTCCCTCAAAGTGTAGCAAAGAGCTTCATGGGGTTGAATTGCTTCTCCAGCCTCTCAGAGAGCTGCTATTTTCTGATCACCCCTTAGAGTGCCTGAGAAACCAGCTCTGAAGAATCCTCCTACCAAGACAGGGTAACAGGAAAAAGCCAAAGAGGAACACAAACATCATGGACCACCTCAGCACCCAGCACTCACGGGGTTGCCCTTCCCTCTCCCATTCACCTCTGTGCAAATTCTCTTCATCAGAACATTAAGTCAGTAGATTTGGGGTGGGGGGGTGCAGGATCTAAGTTTCACCTGGGCCGTCAAGGGTGAATTCATGGGCTCCAAGCAGCGAGGGGCAGCTCAGGCCTGACTGCACCATCTGCTCTTCACCCCGATGCATGGCCCTGGTTGCTGCTGCCCACAGGTGAGCTGTGATGGGACCGATTCCACCAGGGGATGGGGCATGGAGCTGATGCCTTGGTTTATACCAGCTGCCAAGGCTTCACACCAGGACAAAGCCAAGGCTTTTTCCTTTGTTTTCCTTCAGTTTTGCTTGGCGAGTTGAGGATTTGGCAGGGCACACCTCCAAGTTCAGTGCTCATGTACATGCTTTGCCTTCAGGAACTATCCCTTCCCACGGAGTGGTTCAGTATTTCCCCTTCCTATCAGCACCAGACGATACAACTCCAGTTCTCCACCAGCTGAGGGTGTATTTGGCTTGAAGGGAAAACCTCATCCCTTCCCATTAGCTGTTAGTGGCACAGTCTCACCTCGCTTCTTCTCTCCTCCCCATCCTGTCTCTCTCTCCCTGAACTCCCACTGGCTGAGTCCATCCTTGGCCTGGGGTCCAGATGTGAGCCAGGTCCTTCCCTCCCGGCCTCATACGCTGCTGTCCTCGAGCAGGGGCTCTTTGCCATCCGACCCACCAGCTTGAGGGCTGTGGGTGTGGGTCTGGGCTCCGTTACTGTGCTTCTTGTGGCTGCCTGATCTCAGTGCAAGGTTGTGTTCTGGAATGAACAAGGCCACCAGGAGCGACAGCAGGACAGAACAAGCCCCGAACAGGAAGGGAGGCCCTGGGATGATGCTGCTCTGTAGGAGGAAGCAGAGGAATGGTTAATGCTCAAGCACAAGGGAAAAGCAGCCTAAAAGGAGAGACAAAGCTGAACAGTTACCTCATCCGTAGGGTTGGCCATGTTGGGTTTGGAGGCCTTACCCAGAGTTTCCACCTCAGCCATTTCATTCAGCTCCACGTGGAAGAGATAGAAGACGAAGCCATAGAGCGCCGGCCCCAGGCCATTACACAGACCCCGAATCCCAGTGATCATCCCCTGCACCACACCTGGGAACAGAGCAGGGAGAGGAAGATCTTCCTCCAGCTGCTTGTGCTGCTTGAGGATGCTTCTGTATCTAAAGACAAGGCTCAAACATCCAGGTCTGGATGGACACGGACCCCACAGAGGAAGCAGTGAGTGGGTGGTGAGCTTTGCTCATCCAATGTTTGGCTGGAGAATAAAACGTGCTTGGGCACATCAAGCACTGGAATTGAAGGCAGCCAAGTCTGAGGCCTCAGGGCTGAACCATGAAGCTTAAGCAGGAGGCTCCTTGTCTACCTCGGAGAACATTCCCTCCCAAAGCATCAACACAACTCAGAACAAGGCACCCCACAGCTAATACAGGTTCCTGTCCATCCCTCCACCAACTCCACCACAGTCAGTGCAGGCTCCTACTGGGATGAACTCACCCTGTTGGTCAGGGTCCGCGTTCCGAGACACCATGGCGCTGATGGCTGGGAAGGTGATGCTGGACATGGCAGCCACGGCTCCTGCAGCCCACATCATCCTGGGGGACAGAGGCAGTGGTGAGGAGGCAGGATCACACTTCAGACAGGGCACAGGGAGCTGCCACAGAGCCACAAGACAAACAGGAGCCAATTCTTACCAAGGTTGCGATCCGAAGCCGTACCAGGCAAGCTGGAGGATCTGGAAGCCTAGTCCCAACAGGATGGTGTTCTTATTTCCTATGGAACGCATGAGAATTCCCAACACCACTGTCTGGAAAGGAAAACAGGTGCTTTAATGGGAAGTGCAAAGAAGGATGTGAGCACTGGAAGGCAAGAGGATGGGACTCTGAGGGAACACGTGCTGCTGTGACACCGACTCCTCCACTCCAGTAACACCATGTCAGAAGCCAGCACATCCCAATCTAAAGAACTTCCACTTGTCAGCAATTTTGGACATTCCTATAACCAGACTGCAAGAGCTAAGAGAGAAACTGGTGCTCACCTGAGCCAGGATGGAGAGAATCCCAACAACCCCAATGAAGGCTGCCACTGTCTCTGAGGAAAACCCAATGACCTGTGAAAACACCACAGAGGGACTGTTTAGGCAAGAGATCAGGGCTCTATGGGAAAAGCCAGCCCACCAGTGTCACCAGTGTTTGCTGACACTGCTTAGCAGGTACCTGAGCATCAATGAACCATCCCTTCCTCCACCCCCTTGCTGCCACAGGAAGATTTTCCCCTGCATGGTACTGAGGCCTCCTCTCCACGCTGTGTGAACCCTTGCAGGGCCGGTGCCTGCAGCCCTGCCCTGGGCAGCCTGTTCCAATGCCTGAGCACCCTCTGGGGCAGGAATTGTTCCTCAGCTCCATCTAAACCTGCCCTGGTGCAGCTTGAGGCCGGTTCCTCTTGTCCCATCCCTTGTTCCTTGGGAGCAGAGCCCAGCCCCTCCTGGCTCCATCCTCCTCTCAGGCACTTGTAGGGAGCCATCAGGTCCCCCCTGAGCCTTCTCTTCTCCATCTGAACCCCCCAGGTCCCTCAGCCCTTCCCCATCACACTTGGGCTCCAGGCCCTGCACCAGCTCCAGTGCCCTTCTCTGGCCCCGCTCCAACCCCTCAATGTCTCTCTTGTAGTGATGGGCCCAGAGCTGAACACAGGATTTGAGGTGCGGCCTCACCAGTGCCCAATGCAGGGGCACAATCCCTGCCCTGGCCCTGCTGCTGCACTGGTGCTGGTACAGGCCAGGATGCTGGTGGCTTCCTGACCGCCTGGGCACAAGCTGCTCATGCTGGGATCTCCTGCATTCAGAGCCTCATGTCATGGCAAGAGACTGACCTGTCGCAGGTACAGGAAAAAGCTGGAATACTGGCCGGCTTCAGGAAGGTAGGAGAGAAAGACAGTGATACAGATGAGCAGCACTGTAGAATCCTGACCCACTTTCCGCAAGGACTGTAGGGAAAAGGAGTGGGAAATGACATCAATGAAAAGGAAAAAGGAGAGTAAACGTCATGAACTATTCTCCAGGTCCAGAGACAGTGAAAACAAGTGCTTGAGTCACCAGCTTATGGCTGAGAAGTGAAACCAGAGCAGCATCCTGGAGGATGCCACAACACGCCAGCCTGATGGACTGAGGTACAACAGCACCGACTCACACCCTACACTGAGAACCTTGACCTTTGGGTTTCCTAGATTTAGCCAAGTGCTTTGGATCAGAACTGCCTTTTCCTCAGCCAGCAAAGGTACACTGCAAAGCTCCTCATCCTTAGCAAAGGTCCTGAGAAGACAGAACACAAAGGACTTCTGACACAGTACTAGTGCTGAATAATGGAACTCATATTCAGACAACTGTGGTACGCTTCCACCGAGAGATGCTCTTGCTTTAGGACATCTGGAGCTGCTTTTACATGGTTTGTAGCTACAGGAAAAGGGTTGGAAGCTGGAGCCGGTACCTTCAACAAGGTTAATCTGAGCCTCACATCCTCCCCTTTTTATGGGATGCATCTTCCTTTTGGGAGAGATTAGCAGAACGAAAGCAAAGAGAAGGACTAACGTGGAAAAGCAGCAGCAAGATGACTTACAGCGAAGGGATCTGCTTGTTCCCAAGAGATTGGAGCTCCCCAAGAGACCGGGCGCATCTCCTCCGGCAGTGACTCTGGCACTGCCAGCAGGATGAAGGCAATATCCAGCAATGCCACACCTGAAGCCAGCACAACCACCAACGTGTCACCATAGGCCTGGGAGAGGTATGCCCCGATGGCTGGGCTTGTGACCAGACTGGCAGCGAACGTGGCTGACACCTGGAAGCAGAGAACAGGAATCCAGCTTCTCCTTCCTAGAGCCTGTTTTCTCCTCTTGTGTAAACCCAGGGTAGGAGTTTTGCCACCTTTGGTGGAGATAATCCATGTAAAAGACAGAAAGGTGATGTGATCTATGGGTGCAATCTAACAAAGGGAAATGAAAGCTGTCCGAGTAATTCAGGAACCCTATAGAAGGGGAACAATCCCAGCCTGGCCTGGAGAAGCTCCTGACCAGGCTGGTTTAAAGGCTCAGCAACAATACAGCCAGTATTCACACTGTAGAGAGATAAGCAAACAAGTGTTCACAACCCATATAGATGAGGCCCTCAGTGCCATGGGTTAGTGGTGGCCTTGGCAGTGCTGGGGAATGGTTGGACTGGATGAGCTTAAAGCTCTTTGCCAACCAAATTGATTCTATGATTTGAAGCCCTCTCCCTCAGTGCTAATCACACACAGAGCAATAGGGAGACTGTGTTACAGTGAAGCACATATCATCTACTTACTGATATTGTCCTCAGGCTTGACAATCAATCTCCCACCCTCATTTTGTATCTCTCCTACCTGCAAAGCCCCAAGTGTTGCTTCCAAGAGACAAGGCAGTTGTGCAGCTCCTTACCAAGCCATACGCCGTGCTGCGTTCATGCTCCTGGGTGATATCAGCAACGTAGGCAAAAATCACAGAGAAGGTGACAGCAAAGACTCCAGACATGGAAATGACAGCAAAATACCACCTGAAAGAGGCCGTGCCACAGAGTTAGGGAGCAGCCTCACCCCGGTGCACAGCTCCTGCAGGCCCTCCTATTTCACTGCACCAGAAACACTGAGCTGCAGTCTGGGGGCCCAAGAATAGTGACAATGGGCCTGTCAGGAGAATGGGCACCAGGAAAGATTCCTTCCTAACACTGAATCCTCTCTTAGAACCAGACAAGTGAATGAGTCTTTAGGCTGAGCATCATTCCCCACTGGATGAACAATTCCATCATCCTCAAATGCAACACCCACAAATCCCCCGTTGGTCTGTCTTCCGCTTGTTCCTCTCCTCAGAACCCCTTGGTTACAACAGGAATACACTCACCATGGACTGATCTTCATAAGGGGAATTGGAGCACAGGTGAAGAAGACAGTGAGGAGGAGGAAGGATTTCCTGCCCCAGACATCAGAGAGAGCACCAATCAGTGGGGCACTTAGAAAAGAAAGCAGGCCCTAAGACAGACAGGGTGACAGAGAGAAATCCCTCAGTCAAATTCTGATTGTCCATAGCAAGAGCTTCTGACATCACTAAGCTAACAGGGTGAGGAGACAATCCAGCCCTATTCCCTACAAGCAGGCCATCACAGAACCCTTTGTTAAACTGCTCACATCCTTTTAGGCATCAAAACCTACCCTCAAGCAGCTCACTGCTGCTAAACCCTCCCATTCTGTGCTGTTGCTCTGCCTGCGGCTGTGGTCACCCCCAGGCATGAAGAGCTGCTCACCAGTACCTGAACAGATGCTGGCACAGCTCCATCCCATGAACACCTGATACACTTCCAGGGAAAGCTTTCTCTTTTAGATGGAGACATGACAGACCTGATGAGATGCCAAGGCCATTAAGCACAAAGAAAAACTGTTCCGTGCCTTTCCAACTGGAGACAGGCAGGGAAGAGCCTTCATGTGTGTGTGGAAGTGCTCAGCTCTCATGGAAGCAAGTCTCCCCAAGGTCCTCTTGCCAGAGCCAGGGTCTAACAGGCTGGTTTGCCACAATCCCAGGTGTTTGGTCACTATAGCTGCCTCCAGTTCTGCTCTGGGAACACTGGTCTAGTGCAAACCCATGCCATGGCACACTCCCCACCTTCTGTCAGGGATTGCCCACTGAGGCCTATTCCAACTTCTATTTCTGCTAAGTCCAGGTGTCATTGGTTTTCCATGTTGCTACACTCCAGAACACAGATCCAGGGCTGATCTCATGCTGACTGCAATATCTGCAGCTGAGACACACAGCTCTCATAGCCCCAAACCCAGGCTGACAAGCAGCAGGTTGTTAATACTGCTCAGTAAAATCAACTGCACCAAATACCCAGCGTCCACACTTCATTGACTCTTCATTTTGCTTTTGGTTTGCCATTAGCACCCCAAACTGGCAGGGGGCTGGAATGAGATGATCTTAAGGTCAATTCCAACCTAAACTATGATTCTATGAACATGCATTTAGTCTAGGTCATGCTTTGCCTAGAAAGGTTGAGCCAGATGATCCGTGAGGTCCCTTCTAACCAGGTGATATGGGATTCTATCATCTGTCAAACACTGGCTGACATCAACAAGGCCACATGGATTATCACGGCTTGCTACTTCTTGCCCTGATCACAGGTTCAGATGGAAGCCTGGAAGGAATATTCCTTACCTTGACTCCATGAATCAGGCCATTCATCAAGAATGTATGCTGAGGGAAAGTCTGGTGTAACACCTAGAGAAAACAAAACCAAAGCCACAGAGCTAGCAGCTTGTGCAAAGCAGGGAGAAGCCTGGAATAGCTCTTCCCTGTGAGGGTGGTGGGACACTGGTACAGGGTGCCCAGAGAATCTGTGGCTGCCCCATCCCTGGCAGTGCTCAAGGCCAGGTTGGACACAGGGGCTTGGAGCAAGCTGCTCCAGTGGAAGGGGTCCCTGCCCATGGCAGGGGTTGGAGCTTTAAGGTCCCTTCCAACCCAAAGCATTCCATGATAACCAAAGACTCCCTTTGCTTATTTACCTAGAAATCAGAGATCAGGTAAAAAATACCCCTGGCAATTACACTTCAAGGTGTGCTGGTGATCGACCATCAGAAACTGAAGTGAAGAAGCTGAGAGATATCCCATCAGGAGTTTACAGCTCCTTAACTAAAGGCTTAAGTATCCAAGATGATAATTTCAGTTGCTTTATTAAAGCTCTCTCTCTACACTTCACTTTATTGCTGCCTGTATTAATCACCCCCGAGTCGATCCCAGACAAGTCACTGGCTCTCCAGGAGGAGCATGACTTGGCATCATAAAGAACAGCCAGGAAATTGTCTCTGTGCTTTGATGCCCCAGAGAACAACAGAGGCAGTTCAACAAAAACCCCTTTTATCCCTAAATAAGCCTTCAAGCCTCTAACTCGTGCTTTGCTCCAAGTTTAGCTACAATAATCATGAAAAGCATTGCCCAACTCCATAAAACAATCCCTACTGCTCCAGCTTTTCCAGGTATAACCCAGTACATCTTGGTTTCTACTGCCCAGGCTCCAAAGGCTCTGTGTTAAGATCTCTACCCAGGGTGGTTTCTTGTCCACAAGCAGCAGGATTATCCCCAGGGAGACCCACTCACCGTTAGCATTGGCGTGGTCAGCAGCCCCCAGGCAAAGAACTCCAGGAAAATCACCACCACGGCGTGGTACACGCTGGGCTCTCCAATGCCCTGTCGCTGCAAAACAGAGCTCCATGAGTAACACAAGCACACGTACCCCAATCCAGGATAGATCTGGACAATGAAGCATCATTAGAATCATGGAATGGTTTGGCTTGGAAGGGAGCTTCAAGCTCATCCAGTTCCAACCCCTGCCACATGCAGGGACACCTTCCACTGGAGCAGCTTGCTCCAAGCTCTGTCCAACCTGGCCAGCGTTTCTCTTAGGTTGGGTATCAACCTCCTCACAGCTGCCTGGCATTTCTACCCCGTGCTCTTCACATACAAGTTATTTCATGCACCAGAGATGTGTTTGGGTCTGTGTCCTGCTGCACAGCGTTCACTGTGATGCATTCCCAGGGACAGGAGTTGTGTGAAGAGCAATCTGTTCCCCAGCTCCATCCTTCCAACCAGAACAGGTTTGTTTTGCAGCTCACACTGTATTTTATACAACCACCACAGCCGTGAGGCCCTGAAACACGAGGGGAGGCAGCACGAGACGTTCTTGTGCTGAAATGTTAATAAATGACTATTACAGCTGCTTCAACCCCATATAAAGAGCACCAAGGCAAGAGGTGGGGATGCAGTTTTATTGCATATAAAGGAGAGAATGCTTTGCAGCAGAGGGAGAAGGTGGCATGAGGCTGTAATGAGTACAGCTACCGCTACCCACCTTCCTCCAGAGAGCATCCCTCTCCTCCTCCTTTCCTTGTCCCTCCTCATCCACAGTTAAACATTTCTCCCATGACTGCACCAAAATGAACTTGATGGAGTTAAGTCCAGCTCTGACCTGCTCGTAGCTTAATATCTCTCCTTCCACTTATCAACCACCTCATTGGGTTAGTCCTTCACCCATTCAGCACAGCTCACCTCCCGCTGGCTGTGCCACTGAACCACTCGAGCTGCTACATAAAACACCAGTAAAAACACACAAAGAGACAGCAGGGCAGGCCAAAGGCTTGTGACAGGGCTACTCCTCAAGAGCACAATAAAGGGGAAATGCTTGTAGGCACCTTAAGCTCAGGTGCCCCCACTCCAAAGCTGTCTCTGTACATAAGATGCTCGTCCCTGCAGCACTGCTCGGGCAATGGGTTGGGATGGAAAGGACCTTAAAGCTCCTCCAGCTCCAACCCCTTGACACGGGCAGGGACCCCTTCCACTGGAGCAGCTTGCTCCAAGCCCCTGTGTCCAACCTGGCCTTGAGCACTGCCAGGGATGGGGCAGCCACAACTTCTCTGGGCACCCTGTGCCAGTGCCTCAGCACCCTCACCGTAACCGCTGCTGCTCTCCCGCAGCACCGGCCTCCCCTCAGTGGAGGTGACTGCTCCCCAGGGGCCCTTACCGCCGCGGCCTGGCACCTCCAATGCACACGGTACCCGGGACCAGCGAGCACCCGCGCCCGGTAACACGGCGGCGATCCAGAGGCCTGCCCGGAGCAGAACAGCCCCGGCCTGGAGCGAGGGCCGAGCCGCGCACACCTCCAGGGCTACCGGGGGAGGCCGGAGCGGGCCCGCGCACACCACACACCAACCCCCCGCGCCCCGGCCCCGGCCCCGCTCCGCCCCGCGCTCACGCCGGCCCCGTCGCGGATGACGATCTTCTTGGCCAGCAGCACGCTGCGGTTGAGCCGCTTCTTCTTCTTCTTCTCGCCGGTCATGGCGCCGCCGGGCCGCTGCCGTTCGCCGGCCTCCGCGGCTGCCCCATCGTCCCTGCGGCGGGCAGCGCCGCGTCGAGCCGAGCCGAGCCGAGCCCGGGCCCGGGCACAGACCCGCACCGGGCGGGGGAGCGCCGGGCCCGGGGAGAGGGCGGTGGCGGCGACGGCGGGACTGCCCCGCCCACAGGCCCCGCTCCCGTCACCCAGGCGACGGCGCTGACGGGCCCTTCCGGCGGGACGCACCTTCACATCCCATTGGCTGCCCTGCCCCTTCCCCGTCGGCCGAACGCATCGTTGATTGGCTGGGAGGAGGCAGAGGGATGCGGTGGGCGGGACTTATAGCCGCCTCGGTGGGGCGCGGGGCATGACGGGATACGCCGGTCCTCCCGGTCCTCCCCCGGGGGCGGTGGCACCGGTAGCACTGGTAGTGGCCCCTCCCGCGGGTGTCGCAGGGGATGGGGGCTCCTTATCGCTGTGCAGAGCCCCGGACCCAGGTCCCCTTCGCTACCGGCTCCTCTCGGTTTATCTCGTTCCGTACTCCCGGTGTCCCGGCTGAAGGCAGCTACAACCGGTCCCTTCCCCGGACCACCGAGGCGTGGCGGGGCACAGCCGGGCCTGGGGGCTCGGTCCCTCGGGAGAGCGGCCCCGCCCGCGTTCCCCTCCCGTTATTGTTCCCCCCCCCCAAAGCTGCTGAGTGATCCCGAGTGCGGGGACCGGAGAGCGGAGCTGGCGTGAACCGGGACCCGCGACCGCCTGCGAACCCATTGGGAACGGTGCCCGGGCAGCGGGCGAGGGACCCGGAGCCTTCCTTAGGGTCGCCCCCTGGGAACGGGCACCCGGAGCCGCCCGTACAGGGACCCCCATCAGAGACGCCCCCCCCCGCGAGGGGTCGGTGGAGCCAGGGCCCGTTCCGGTGCTCTGCGGCAGGTTGAGAACCGAACCGGGGCAGCGGAGAAGCGGCTCCTTGCCCTGAGTTACCGGTCGCACTTGGGGCACCCACCGACCGCTGCCCCGGGAGGCACCGAGGAGACGGCGAGACAAAGGCGGCCCGCGGGGAGGCTCCGGTGGTGCCGGTGCCACTTGAGGGGCGGGGAAGGGTCCGGCCGGCCTCGTCCCCCGCTGTCCCTGAGCACCGGGACCGCGCCTGCCCTTCCCGGGGCTCCCGCAGCCCCCTCTGTGTGCCTCGGGGGGAGCAGCGGGGCCGGGGCCGCCGGAGGGAGCCGGGGTGGGGCGGCGGGGGCCGGGAGGGCTCAGGATGGAGGATGCTGGGGCGGCCGGGGGGGGGCCGGGGCGGCGGCGGAGCGCTCGCACCATGACATCAGCGCGGCGCGGCCCCGGGGGAGCGGGCGGGGGGCGGGAGCCGGCGCGGCGGCGGCGGAACGGCAGCGGCGGAGCGGAGCGGCCCCGGGCATGCTCCCGGAGCCCAAGTATGACCGCTTCCGCGACGAGCCGCTGACCGCCCCTATGCCGTCGCCGGTCCCCGGGCCGAGCCCCGCGGCGGGCGAGGAGCCCGAGCCCGGTACCACCTTCTGCGCGCTGCTGCCGCGGATGCCGCAGTGGAAGTTCCCCGGTCCCGGCGGCTTCCTCGGTCGCGGCCCCTCCGCCGGTACCGGTGGCGGCCGGGACCTGTCAGCGCCGGCCCGGGCGGGTCCCCCCTCGGCGCTGGCAGCCGTGTTGGCCGCCTGCGAGCCGCTGTGCCCCGCCGCACCGTGCGCGTTACCGGCGGGCGGGCGGGCGCGGGGGGCGGCGGGGCGGGCGGCGGCGGCGGCGGCGGCGGCGGGGACCCGGCCGGGAGCGGAGGAATGGAGCCGCAAGGGCAGCTTCATCCGCAAACCGGCGCAGGGTTGGCTGCACCCCGACGAGCGGGTGCTGGGGCCCGGCGTCTCCTACATCGTCCGGGTAAGTCCCATCGGAGCCCGAGCCCGGTGCCGTGACCGTGGCCAAGGGGATGCGGAGGGGTCCCCGGGCATCCATCCCCGACTTATGTCCCCGTCGCCCGGCCCGTGGTGTCTGGATCATCCTGGCGGGGACGGCCTCCCCGCACCGGCTGCGGGTGGGATGGGACCAGGGGGTAGCCTCGGACCCAGCAGGATTTAGTCCCTCCAAGGGCATCCAGAGCCGTAGCGCCGAGAGGAGTTTGTCGGGTCTCAGAGTGGATTCTGGGCGTGCAATGGGATCGGTTGGGGTGGCGGACAAAAGGGTGCTGGGTGCTCCCCGGAGCTGGCTTGGAGGGGGCCCTTCCCACTGACACTCAGCTCTTCCTCTTCCCTCCTCTTCCTCATCTGCCCTATGCTGGTGGCGGTGGCTGGAGGAGGCCTCTCTGACCGTGTCCCCCCACCCCGTAGTACATGGGGTGCATCGAGGTGCTGCGCTCCATGAGGTCCCTCGACTTCAACACCCGCACGCAGGTCACCAGGTACGGCCTCACGCTCATCCCGCACCCCAAAACCACCCCCTCCAGGTGGAACATACAGGGCCGAGGGTCCGGAGGGGGAGCCCTGCCCCATGGATCCACCCTGCACACAGGGCGATGACGAAGGGCACTGCTGCGGATCAATGGGTGGAAAGAGGAGAAGGGAGGTGGCCTTGGCCGGGATTACGTACCGCGGCCGTGACGTGGGGCAGCGCTGCAGGGAGGCTGCGGTGCCCGGGGCTGTGGGGCTGATGCCACGGGGCAGCCAGGAAGGGGCTATGGGGGGGTCTGGAGCAATAACTGGGCCCGGGGCTATGGCTTACAGGGAAGCCATCAATAGACTGTATGAAGCAGTGCCTGGCGTGAAGGGCATCTGGAAGAAGAAGGTGAGTTTCCACTTGGTCTGTCCCTCCCTGTGCTCCTTCCCAGGGCAGGGTGCTGGAGGTGCCTGCCTGGTTCATGGGGCAGAGCCTGGGGTCTCTTGGAGCAACCCCTTTGCCTCCTTCAGCCCAGGGATCCTGGACCCTATGGGCTGCATCACCCCCCCCCATGGTCCTCTCCCCCTGTCAGGCTCCCAACAAAGCCCTTGTCTCCATCCTGGGCAAGAGCAACCTGCGCTTTGCTGGCATGAGCATCGCTGTCAACATCTCTGTTGATGGGCTGAACCTCATGATCCCCACCACACGCCAGGTCAGAGCCGGCCCCAGGGCTGTGGCACTGCCACCTCCCAGCCCTCTGCCTCCTCCTGCAGACCAAAGAGCTGGTGGCCCCCCCTCTAACCCCTGCCATGGGCCACGTTCCCCCCACAGATCATTGCCAACCACCACATGCAATCCATCTCCTTCGCCTCCGGTGGGGACACGGTGAGACCCTGGCTGCGGTCCTGAAAGGGGGTCCTTGTCCTGTGGCTGAACCAAACTCAGGGCAGGACATGGGGATGGGGCCCATCCCCTTGCCCCAGAGCCCCCAGCCCTGCTCCAACTCCCTTGAGCTCCCCTTGTGCCCTCAGGACACCACGGACTACGTCGCCTACGTCGCCAAGGACCCCATCAATCAGAGAGGTGATGCTGGCCTGGGAGCTGTATGGATGAGGAGGGATGCGCTGAGGGGGGGATGAAGGCTGGAGAATGGGGGGATTCCATTTGGAGGGGGCACAAGGGGCATCTCCCAGAGGGGTGATGGGAGCAGGGGGACCCATCTGAGCCATCTGTCCACAGCCTGCCACATCCTGGAGTGCTGCGAGGGGCTGGCGCAGAGCGTCATCAGCACGGTGGGCCAAGCCTTTGAGCTGCGCTTCAAGCAGTACCTGCACAGCCCCCCCAAGGTGGTGGTGCCCCCGGACAGGTAAAGGGGTTGGGGTTGGGGGGGGCTCAGCCCTGGCGCTGAGCCCCTCAGGGTGTCCCCGGCTCACCCATCCCTGCTGCAGGGCGCTGGGTGCCGAGGACTCGGCCTGGGGGGAGGATGAAGATGCGGCCGAACACGATTATTACAACAGCATCCCCGGCAAGGAGCCGCCCCCGGGCGGGCTGATCGACTCCCGGCTCCGGCACGGCCCCAGCTTGGGCCACATCCGCACTCAGCCCTCCGGCTCCATCCCCTCCAGCCAGGTGAGGCCCCCCCCCCCCGGGGGTCGCTGCTATGGGGGTCCTGAGCACAGGTCCCCCCACAGCATCCTCACTGCCTCCTCTCCCCAGGCCGGGTTTGCAGGCAGGCGAGACCAGAGCATCCAGCCAGGGCTACACTGGGAGCTGGAGAGCCAGGGTGGGTACCGCTGCAGGGAGGGGGACCCGGTCAATGGGGGGGTCACTATGGCTCTGCACTGCCTGGGCTGGTGGTGATGCCCCCTCCTCGCAGGCCAGCCCGGGGATGGGTACCTGCAGGCTGATGGCCACCCCTTGGGACCACGGGACTACGAGGAGCACATGTATGTGAACACACAGAGCCTGGATGCCTGGGAGCCGGAGGCAGCGGCGGCTCGGGGGGTGCCGGAGGAGAGCCCCAAGAAGGACCTCTTTGATATGAGTAAGCCCCCACGCTGGGGGGATGCCCATTGCATGGCCCCAGCTTCATGCCCTGAGGGGTGACATCCCCTCACCTCGGTCCTACAGGGCCATTCGAGGATGCCCTGAAGCTCCACGAGTGCATTGTGGGGAACAGCAGCAGTCCCCCCATCGAGGACCAGTGGCCGAGCCCCCCAACACGGAAGGCTCCCATTGCCCCCACTGAGGAGCAGCTCAGGCGGGAGCCGTGGTACCATGGGAAGATGAGCCGGAGGGATGCAGAGAGGCTCCTGCAGATGGATGGGGACTTCCTGGTGCGGGACAGCCTCACCAACCCGGGGCAGTACGTGCTGACCGGCATGCACAGTGGGCAGCCCAAGCATCTGCTGCTGGTGGATCCCGAGGGAGTGGTAAGGGCAGGGTGCAGGTTGGGTGATGGGGATAAGGGTAGGGTGGGAAGGATGCTGGAGGCTGCAGGGTACAGCGTGGGTGATGGGGATAAAGGCAAGGTTGGAAGGATGCTGGAGGCTGCAGGGTGGGTGATGGGTGATGGGGATAAAGGCAGGGTGGGAAGGATGCTGGAGGCCACAGGTTGGGTGATGGGTGATGGGGATAAAGGCAAGGTTGGAAGGATGCTGGAGGCTGCAGGGTGGGTGGTGTGTGATGGGGATAAAGGCAGGGTGGGAAGGATGCTGGAGGCTGCAGGGTGGTGTGGTGATGGGATGGGGGTGTGTGGGGTGGGGGTTGGGGTGGGGGTTGGGTGTGGGGTGGGTTGGGTGTGGGGATAAGGCAGGGTTGAAGGATGCTGGAGGCTGCAGGTTGGGTGATGGGATAAGGCAGGGTTGGAAGGATGCTGGAGGCTGCAGGTTGGGTGATGGGATAGGCAGGTGGAAGGATGCTGGAGGCTGCAGGGTGGGTGTGGGTGATGGGATAGGGGGGTTGGAAGGATGCTGGAGGCTGCAGGGTGGGTGATGGGTGATGGGGATAAGGGCAGGGTTGGAAGGATGCTGGAGGCTGCAGGGTGGGTGATGGGTGATGGGGATAAAGGCAGGGTTGGAAGGATGCTGGAGGCTGCAGGTTGGGTGATGGGGATAAAGGCAGGGTTGGAAGGATGCTGGAGGCTGCAGGTTGGGTGATGGGGATAAAGGCAGGGTTGGAAGGATGCTGGAGGCTGCAGGGTGGATGATGGGTGATGGGGATAAAGGCAGGGTGGGAAGGATGCTGGAGGCTGCAGGGTGGGTGATGGGTGATGGGGATAAAGGCAGGGTGGGAAGGATGCTGGAGGCTGCAGGTTGGGTGATGGGTGATGGGGATAAAGGCAGGGTTGGAAGGATGCTGGAGGCCACAGGCTGCAAGGGGTGGGCAGGTCGCATGGAGGTTCATGAGCACCGTGGCCCCCCAAACCCGCAGGTGAGGACCAAGGACGTGCTGTTCGAGAGCATCAGCCACCTCATCAGCCACCACCGGCAGAACGAGCAGCCCATTGTGGCCGCTGAGAGCGAGCTGCACCTCCGCCAGGTCGTGCAGAGGAAGCAGTGACACCGGGGGTACGTGAGCCCCCAACCCGCGGCCCTGGCACCGGACTCACCCCAGCCCTGGGGTAAAGCCAGGCCCCCCCTGCGCTCCCCTCCTGCACCCCCGGGTCAGGGTCCCCGTTCCCCTCCCCATGGTCTGCATGGGGTGTTCTTCCCAGCTGGGGGCCGCTGTGGCACTGCCAGCCCTGGTGCTGGCTCCATCCCGACACAAGGAATTGGTCTCTGGACTGTCATGGAGCAAGCGGGGTTGGGGCTGGTGCCAGGAGCCTCATCCCAAAGTGGGATGGGGTGAGCAGGCTTGGTGTGTGTGTATCCGTGTGTGTGTGTATCCATGTGTGTGTGTGTATCCATGTGCATGTGTGTCCGTGTGTGTGTCCGTGTGTGTGTATCTGTATGTGTGTATCCGTGTGTGTGTGTATCCGTGTGTGTGGGTATCCATGTGTGTGTGTGTCCATGTGTGTGTATCCACATGTGTGTATCTGTATGTGTATCCATGAGTGCATGTGTCCCCGTGTGTGTATCCACATGCGTGTGTATCTGTGTGTGTGCATGTGTATGTATCCATGTGTGTATGTATCCATGCGTGTGTATCCATGCATGTGTATCTATGTGTGTGTATGCATCCATGTGTGTAATCCATGTGTGTGTATCCATGTATGTGTGTGCATCCATGTGTGTGTATCCATGTGTATGTATCTGTGTGTGTGTGTATCCGTGTGTGTGTATCCATGTGTGTGTATCCATGCGTGTGTGCATCCATGTGTGTGTGTATCCATGTGTATGTATCCGTGTGTGTGTGTATCCATGTGTGTATCCGTATGTGTGTATCCATGTGTGTGTGTATCCGTGTATCCATACGTGTGTATCCATGTGTGTGCGTGTATCCATGTGTGTGCACACGTATGTGAGGAGCATCCTTGCCCACCAAGCTGTGCCTCTCGCCCAGCACTGCTGCTCAGGACCCAGCTCCTTGCCTCAGTCCCCCCTCTCTGCCAGGACATTGGGGGGGTTCCCCTATCCCCATCAGTGCCGGCTGCAGCCCCTGCCCTCTCTCTGCTCATGGGGCTGGGTATCCCTGTTGGTCCCACATTTCCAGCTGGATTCTCCCCAGGAGCAGCTGCCATGAGGGTTCCCGATGGCTCCGAGCCCCCGCATCCATCCCCAGGCTGGGGCTGGGATGAAGCTGCTGTGGGGAAGATGCAGGGCAGGGGTTTGCTCCTGGCTCTGGCTCTCCAAGGCTGGAGATGTGTCCCAAGGCCCCTGGGACATCCCTGCTTCTCCTGGCTCTTGGGCAGGTTTTTATGGCATTCGCAGCCCTTGCCCAGCATTGTCTGGGGCTCGCGCTTTGGAATACGTTTCTAATTAAACCTGGAAATGAGGAAAGTGCCTGGGTTCTTCCTACTGGGATGGGGCTCCTGCATCCAGGGGCTCAAAGGGACTGGGATGGTGTCTCCATCCCCACCAGCTCCTGGTTAATCCCACATCGGTGCTGGCAGCCTGCTCATCCTGGCCAGTCACACTTGTCTCTGCCCCTCTGCATCACTGTCACCCTTCAGCACATGGATCACCCCCTGGCTCCCAGGGGTGCTGGTCCTGCTCGCACCCAGCATCTCCTGCCTGCACCCAGCATCTCCTGCCCGCACCCAGCATCTCCCTGCTCCTGCTGCCTCCATCCTCCGTGGCTCCTGCCATGACCAGGCTGGCACCAAGCAGCCCGAGATGCGTTGTCACCAGTCAGGAGCATGGTGGCCAGTGCAGGGAGAGCCAGCACATAGGGGACAGTGCTTGCTTGGCATCAGTGGAGGCAGGAGAAGGCTGCCTCAACGCTTCTCGGGGGTGTCCCAAGCTATCTCCATGGCTGGGCACCCATGGGTGCTCCCATGGAGGCTCCCAGTGTGTCCATTCCCACCCGGCTCAGAACAGTGGGTTCCCTCTTCTCCATCATTGGGATGGTGTTTTCCAGGATGCTGGACCGGTGCTGGCTGAGTCAATGAGGAAAATAAGCCCCTCAATAAGGGCTGGTAATGAATGTGTCATTTTCCATTGATAGTTGAATACCTCCAGGGATGAGGCGCTGCCATCTCAGCTGCTATTTTTTGTCATGTAGTAATGCGTCTGCAAGGATAATTGCGCCGTTCCCTCAATAGCAGAGGCAGGAAAAGGCAGCGAGAGCCTGGACTTTTCTTCTTTCGCTGCCTCAGAACAAGCCCACGTCTTTGCTGGCTGCTGCTGGCTCTGGCCCAGTCCCTCAGCCCCAGGGATGCTGCTGAGACCTGTTTCTTCCTGGCGTTCTCCACTCCCGAATCCACAGAGAGCCCTGGGAAAAGGGGGAGATGAGCAAGGAGAGGAGCCCCTCCTGGCTCCATGCTGATGGGTGCAAGCAAGGGGCCGGGGCCCGTTTTGGAGACCCTGGAAACCTGCTGGCCCTGTTTCTGTTTCAGCCCAGCAGCTCCGATGGGGAAGGGATGCTCCCAGCACTGCCCATCCCCATGGGTGCAAGCACCCGTGTAAGCTCCCGCTACAAGTGTGGGGTCTCTCCTGCCTTCCCTCCAGTACGAACTGGGGCAGTTGGGACCTCTCCTGCCTCCAACCTGGAAGCGCTGCTGGGAGCCAGGCCCAGGTCTGCTCAGTGCTGAGAGCACCCCGGTGCCCTCGGCAGCACTGGCCCAGCTCCAGCTCTTTGTTATCTCGGGGGAACTCAAGCATTTCTGCACCGTGTTTGCTCACCGTTGTGCAGGGCAGAGGAAAGGAAAGGCAAACACCGGCCTTTTGTTCCCCTTCCCGACGGCCTCGGCCTCCTCTCCTAGGGTCCTTCTGCCTCTTCCTCCCCCATGGGACTCAGGACTCAGCTCCCCACAGCACAGATCGCAGCGTCCAGCCAGGATGTTGCCATTCCCTTTCCCCATCACTGACTCAAGGCATCCCTGCCCAGACCCCCTCCATGTCCTGGCTGGTTCTGAGTCGTAGAATCATAGAATCGTTAGGGTTGGAAAGGACATTCAGATCCTCTGGCTCCCAGCCACAGCACCGGCCTCCTTTTATCAGCTCAGAGTCAGGATGCAGACAGCTGAAACCTCCCACCTCTTGCAGTCACTGCCCAGTCGCTGCAGCAGCCCCCGCAGAAGATGCTCAGCATTCCAGGCTCTCCATCCCAGCCATCATTCCCAGCCTTGGGGTGACGGTGCCATCCCTGCAAGCCTGACAGCATCCATAGGGCAGTGGCCAGGAAGGCTCAGCCACAGGCCTGTGCCACCGTCCTGCTCGGTGCATCCCTGTCCCCAAGGCCATAAATCATGCGGTGCTTGGGCTGGGGCCGCTCACCCTCAGCACCAGGGCCTGCAGTGATGCCCCTGGGACCCTCCTGACATGGTGCCCCTGTGTCCTGCCCCAGCGCTGTCCCATCGGGTCCTGGTGGCACTGGTGACCCCCAACTCCTCCAGCCACCACATTAAACCACCTGATGCGCCCGGCGAGTCCTCCAGCTCCGAGCGCTTCCATGTACTCAAAGCCCGGCGGGGACAGCGGGATGCATCCTGCGCTGGGTGGGGGGGATGAAGACCACGGCTCCATCGCGTTAACCCCGCTCTGCGCTGGGCTGGGGGGATACGGGGCTGCTGCCGTCCTGCTCCCTCCCGTATCCCGGCTCGGGGCCGGTCCCATCCCAACCGCGGTGCTCCCGTAGGCAGGGGATATGGGGGGCGGGTGTTCCCTCATCCCTGAGCATCAGCGGTCGCGGTCCCGGTCCGGCGGGGCTCGGGGCGGGGAATTGCGGGGGCGCCGCGCTCGGAGGATTACGGCGGCGGCGCGGGGAAGGAGCGGAGCCGCCGCTGCCGCCGTATAAAAGCGCGTTCGCGTCCGCCCCGCCCGGGCTGCGGCGGCGGCGGCGGCTCCGCTCCAGGTGCGGCGGCTCCGGCAACTTCCCGGTCCCGGCGGCGGCGTCGCTCGCTCGCTCGCTCGCTCCCTCGGTTCGCTCCGGTTCCCCGCGCCCTGTCCCGCAGCGGCTCCCCGGTGCGCCGCGGCCGCTCCGTCCCATTGCGTCCCATCGGCGCTACCGGTTCCTTCCCCGTCTCTTCCCGTCCCCTTCCCGTCGGCGGCGCCGGTTCCCCCCCCCATTTGTCCCCCGGTGCCCGCTGGTCGCTCTTCGGGCCGCCGGTCCCCGGTGACGCCGTTCCCCTCCGGTCTCTTGCAGCCCCGCAGCCAAGCAGCAACATGTGGCTCCTGGAGCGGCTGCGCGGCGTGGCCGAGAACGGGTCCCGTGGCGCGGGGCCGGAGGATTCCCCCCGCGGCTCCCGCTACAGCAACGTCCTCACCCCCGACAAGATCCCCGACTTCTTCATCCCGCCCAAGCTGAGCGCGGCGCCCGCTGAGGCCGAGGGCTCCGAGCCCCCCGCGACGCCCACCCTGGGTCCCTCGGCCTCGGAGCAGGACCTGGCCGGGCGCAAGCCCCCTCGCAGCCCCCGGGCCTCCAGCCGTCCCCGTGCCCGCCACATCATCCAGATCGAGAGCGCCGAGGACTGGACAGCCGAGGGGGGCTTCGGCACCAACGTGGACCCGCAGGCGCAGACGGCCATGTCGCTGCCTTATGTACCCAAGGCTCAGACCTCCTACGGCTTCGCCACGCTGGTGGAGAGCCCCCACACGCGGCGCAAGGAGTCCCTGTTCCACAGCGAGCACAGCAGCCTCTGCCCCTCGCCGGCCACCTCGCCCAGTGCCCAGCGCAGAGCCAAGCTCAACGGGGACAGCGGTCCCCGGGGTCCCGCAGACCTGGGTGCAGCCCTCATGCACCCCGGGCGCTACTTCAGCGGCGGCGAGAGCGACACCGGCTCCTCGGCCGAGTCCTCGCCCTTCGGCTCCCCGCTGCTGTCCCGCTCCGTGTCCCTGCTGAAGATCTTCAGCCAGGAGAGCCAGTCCAAGATGATCAAGCTGAAGCACTCGGTGGCCCGCAACAGCTCCTTATCCACCGACGACAGCTCCGCCGACACCAGCCCCAGCGCCCAGCGCCGCTCCCGCAGCGCCCCGGCAGGGACGCAGCCTCCGACCGCGCTGCTGCCGTTGGATGCTCCGCGGGGCCGGGATCGGGAGCAGAGCCTG